GCACGAAACGTGGCGCGGGGACGGAGACCCAGCCGCGGCCGCGCCGCCTCGCAGAGTCGAGGGCTGACCCGGCTGTAACTTGCGGTGGCGGGGCAAAAAGCGCGTGTCCCCTCCTCTTTCCCCCGTCGCTCCCCAAGGGTCCATGGTGCTCCCTCCTTCAACCCTCCTCGGAGTCCGGAGAACCGGGTCCTCGCAGCGTCGCTGCGGATCGCTTGCTACCCCTTTCTGGCCTCAATTTCCCAGTCTCTCTGTCCTGAAGCGGCTGGACTTTGAGGGACAGAAGAGGCCAGCCCCCTGGGAGCTGACCCCTTAGCCCAGGGACCAGGGCAGGTTTGGGAAGCTGCCCTAACTATGGCAGGGACCTGCGGTTCAGCAGTAGGGGTGGTGTTACCCAGCTGGATGTCCGCGGGGGACCGGGGGTGCTATGTGCACCCGAGCAGTAGCCTCCGGGATGAGACATGGTGGAGCCGCTCGCGGGCACAGCGGCCTGCGGGTGACCCCAGGTGAGCGCCGGAGTGTAGCCACCCCCACCTCCGCCCTCCCGGGTCAGACCGCTCCTGTCCTCCACCCGACCACAAGCGGCCACTATTGGCTTCCTAATGAGTGGTCCTTGCGCCCTGCCCCCAAACTTGTCCTTGTCATTACCACCATTGAGTGAGCTCAGAACATGTGCCCAGGCCCTGACTATCCTCTGCAGGGTCAATAGAAGAACTCACAGCATAGAAGAACTGAGGCTGCATGGTGACCACTCTTGCCCCAGTCACAGGCACTGAATCGGCAGAGCTGGGTGTCCTGCCTCCCAGGCCTGCCCTCCCCATGTTCTGCAGCGGGGCAACTCCCCCAGCAATTCTGCCCCATTCGCCAGTAGCCCTCACCCCAACCTGGGGCAGTAAACTATTCATGTCAGGAGAATCCTAGGCAGGCTACCAGGCCCATGACTTCTTTTACTCTGTGACCTAGGGTAACTCAGTCTGTCACCTGTAAAATGGGTGTTGTGAGCATTAACAGGTAGTATTGCTGGCCTGCTGAGGGAGGTGAGCCTTGCACGGGACATCCAGAGCCCTGCTTACTCCAGTGCCAGGTGGGGCACACCTGATGGCCAGCAGTAGTCTGTGGTCAGCATCCAGTGCCAAGTGGCTGCCACCACGGGCCCCAAGGAGGAGAGACATTAGTGTGGAAGTGTTGGATTTGAACCCAGGGCTGCCCTGCTCCATGATCTGAGGGTTTCATTACAGCATCTTCCACCCTTACAACCCTCCTGGGAGAGCTGGCCCGTTACTCAGTTGGTTAGAGTGTAGCCTTATCATAGCAAGGTCAAGGGTTTGGTTCCTCATACCGGCCAACCACCAAAAAATAAATAAATAAACTCTCTTGGGAGGGGACCTGCCTGGGATGCTGTTCCCATTTTCCACACAGGAAGACAGGTCCCAGTTGTAGCGCCCTGCCCTGAATGCCGCAATGCTGCAGGGCCCCTACTGCAGCTGGAAGCGTGGCGGGTTACGGGGTACTGTGGAGGTGCCCAGAGGCATGTGGGAGGTGGGATCATCACAAGATTAGGGAGGAAGCTGGTGTCTCAATTCAAAGTGGCCGTGGAGTTTGGCTGGAGACTCCTTTTGCTGAGAGAGGAGGGGTTGCCTCAAGAAGTCAGGGAGTTGGGGGTGGGAGCAAGGTGGGTGTGGCGACAGAGCAGACGTGGTTGATCCCTCCACATGACATTTCACGGAGTGACACCCACCCCACCCCCACTTCCTTCCCCCAGAAATTCATCTTTAACCCCTGCTGAGCAGGGAATCCTGGCCCCTGCCATGTACTTGCCTTGTGACCTTGGACAAGTCCCTTCCCTCTGGACCTCAGCTCTCCCTGTCAAATGGGCTAACCCTCGAGCTTTGCAGGATTGTTGGAGAATCAGATGACATCATGTAATGGTTGGCCAACTGCAGTGCGCTTCGGAACTTCAGCAAACATTCCACGAGGACTTCTTGGTGCCCGGGGTGCCAGGGAAAGGGATGATTCAGAAGCACCCCCCTGCAGGGGGAGGAGCTAGGGTTGGGGGAGGGTCAGAGGGTGGGAAGGGAAGAGAATGTAGTCAGAAACAAAGCAAGCTTTGTCTTACTGCTCTCTTTGTTTTTATCTTGTTATTTAACCTATTTTGAATTTCAAATAACATTAGAAGGGCAGTATCGACATTTTTATGCTTGGAGGTGGCAGCAATGGTTTTTTTCTTTTAAACAAAAAAAAAAAGTTGAGACTCAGATCTAGGTGTTCTTGTTAAGGATCATTATCAGTCTTTATCGGCTGAGGTACCAGGTCTGTGAAGGTAAGTGACTTGCCCAAGGTCACACTGGGAGGCCGCTGAGTCCTGGCCTACCCTCCCCACTCTCGGAAAGTACCAGGGGGGCGATCCTTTGGCATGAAGGTTATCACAAAGATCTCCTGTGATTAAACTGGTATTGATTTGGCACTTGCTGTGTGCAGAGCCCAACCCGGGTGCTAGAAGGGAGGAAGGCAGGAAAATCCAGGCTGCTGCCCCACCCTCAAATGTGTTGCTGATCAGAGGAGACAAGACTGGGCTCCACAGGCCAGTCGAGGGCTTACGTGAGTCAGAGAACTCTGAGTTCAAGTCTTGACTAGCTCTCTCGTGTGACCTTGAGCATGCTTGGCCCTCTGTGCCCAGGAAAACCAGAGGCGAAACGTAGGCTCATAGGTGCCCTCTAGCTTGGCCTTTCTATGATACTGGAAGGGAAGGGGTCAGACCAAGAGATGCATCGAGAAGGTTGTTGCTGGGGAGGGTGTGGGTGGGAGATCGGGAAGGGAGAGAGTAGGCAAGGAATAGCTTTTGGCAGCAGATGTGTGTGCTTTTTCCAGAACTTGTTTCTGACAACAAGGCTCCTACCTCAATTTAACCAACTGTGATAAAGTCCTTTCCTGCGGGCCTTCTCAGAGCCTCAAATGTGCAAGAGGCAGCTGGAAAAAGCCACTTTTGACCACAGGATCCTTTTTCCAGGAAGCACCTTGAAGGCGGAGGGTTCTGAGGAACCCCTGCACAGGCTGTTTACACAGCAGTTCACAAAGCCTTGGCGAGACACCTCCTCCCTCCTGGCCAGAGAACTGGGTGGAAGAGATTTCAACCCACAGAGAAGGAAGGTGACTTACTCAATATGCCAGCAGGAGGCAGTGTAGCGTGGCACTCGAGGACCCTAGGGTTTGGGGGTTTGGTTCACTATTTCTTACTGTGCAGCCTCAGGCAAGCCACTTCACTTCTTTGTGCCTCAGTTTCTCCTCT